GGGGGAGGGGAGGGGGGGGGGGGGCGGGGGGAGGGTATTGGGATATGGGGGGTTGTGGGGGGCAGGGGGGGCACACTGTTTGTAGCTTCAAGGACATCTAGTCCGAGACATTATGTGGAACAATAATCCTTCACGCCGCCATGAAGAGCTTCCATTTGAACCAATCATGACGGAGCAAAACTAGAGTGCCTTCACTTATATTCTCAATAAAGATGGAAGACAAAAATAAGACTTACGGCGGAAAGTTTGACCCTCACAAATGTTCATATCCCAATAAAGTTGAATTATATCTCATATTTCAAGGGGTTGACATGTGCCAATCAGAATAGGTTGATTGTGAATGATGCAGACTTTTGACTAAAGATTCTTAAGTATGTTGAAGATCGTGTTCTAGAACTTAAGACTTATTTTTGCAACCAGAATCCCAATGTGGTGGGGACTGCCATGTCTGAAGCGAATGAATAATGACCCGGAGCCTCTGCCTCTGAGCCACAGTACAGATATAAGAGACGTGACGAGGTAAGATATGCGTTTTCAGTACAAAGCAAGTTTCACACCAGAAAACAGTAAATAGCACAGGACACACTAGCGCTCCAGTTTATTTCTAGTCATGTATTTGAGGGTTTCTGGTGGCTTCCTTGTCTCAGTTAGAGTAATTACACCACTGATTAGGTTGTTTCTATGAATCAGGATTTTGTGCCTAATCTACATAACTCCTTTATATTTAGGTCTGCTAATTTGCATCTCCTTCCAAAAACTTTCAAAAGAGATAACTAGAGAATATGTATGGGGCATATTGAAAGACAAGTGAAAAGACACCAACAATAGTAAATGAGTGCATTCAAATGTAGAATTGTTGACAGACAATGGATTTATGTTAACCCCGCGTTTAAACTACTTGGGCCGGCTGCACACGTATATTAACCGCCGTATATTTAGCGACCCGGCTTAGCATTTCTGATTTTTGTAAATCTGTCCAAGGGAACAACGGCACTCACTCTCGATTAACCATCTAGTGTCAGAACACTGCTGGGGAGCGAGGCAGGACTACTAGTCCTAGCAAATTAGGATTAGCAAATTATGGAAGTTGAGATACATTTTTCACAGGACGTTTGAGGTGTGGTAATGCAGACTTTATTGACTAAAAACACTGACTGGAATTAGGACACATCTGACTTTTTCTGAACCGGAGAAACCATCAGAATGGATCAAAATACGATTTAAATGACTTAACTATGAATGTAAATGTGAAGGAGTACTTATTATATTATTTGTGAATCAAGGGGGGCTATGTAAAGTACATAAAGATTTTTATGAAGACACTGACACACTTCTCACATATGTCTGACCCATTCATACAGCAAGAGACCAGCCACGGGTTCATCTTTAGCTCTATACTTCATACCTTCCCACAGAATTGCACAACATTAGTGCCAAAAAGTCTTGTTTCAGTTTCACTTCTCAAATGCTCGCCCATACTCTTCCTCCATTGCCCTCTCTCGGTCTCGGTCTCCCTTTGTGCTGATGGTTGAATTAACCAGTGATGGGCGAAGACCCATTCAACTCATGTCAGTGTCTGAATGAGGTATTATGTATTCCCTGAGGTGATTGTTAATATCAGTTACCGGACTAATGTTAGAGGGAGCTGCCTAACCTTTTTGAATGAACACCAGTCACCGGGTTTGCTCATGGTCCAAATATACGCCTCCTCCCAAAGTCAGTGTCACAGGGACAGCGTGTATCACAGCACCCACACTGTAGCGGCCTAGTTTACTTCCTGCATCCACCGACTCACTCTGATGTCAGTGGATGGCAGCAGAGATACCTTTCCGTTTGCATCTGTCCCCCGGGGGGGGGGGGGCAATCGCTGCAGCTCAGCCTGCTATCAGAGCGGAGCGATTCGGAGGCCCTCGGGTATATGAAGTGCACGTTGTGCATTACATGACACGCTCGGACATGTTGCCGCAGTCAAAGCAGACCCATGTTAGCCAGAGTGCACTTCACAGGAATGAGATCGAGCCGCGAAGTGCAACGGTGCTGCTGATGGAGCCGCTGCTACATTTAGCAGCTAGCATGGAGCCTGAGCTACAGACAGGTAGAGTTGGGGCTCCACTCACCCCCCCCCCCCCATCATGGGAAATGGGGACATAATATTGTCAGTCTCCGCCCACCCTTAATTTATTGCCAAACTGTATTTTGCATTTAATTCATCATTCATTCCAAAAAAAACATCTCAAAGACAAACTACACAGATAACATCTTTCTAATATAATAAGATATAAATGTGGCAGACATTCACTCACTTCCGATGAATGCTATCAAGTACCATCTCGCCACTATTGAATCCGCATGCAGCCAGAGCCCAGAGCAATAAGTTGAGTCAACTTGATGCACACGAACAGCATCCCCCTGCAGACAGAGTGGCTGCTGCTGGGCTGTGAATTGGTGTGACTACGCAGGAAACAGCCTTAAATGTAAGACGAATGCAGAAGAGCTGCAAGTTATCTTATGACACTTTCACACATGAAAACAAGATTGACAGCACTGATGTCGTCACCCCCCCCCCTCTCTCTCTCACTACTAGCTACTGACTCACCCAATTTCAATGCAGAATGCAGTTAAGACCTCACAGTGATGATCTTATGTCAAACTCAACTATTGTCAAATTAACACAACCTGAAAAGCTTTTTTTTTTCCTGACCAGTTGACTTCTCTACATGTGGACCACAAAACCTGTGCCATCACTGTTGTGTGTGGTTCAACAGAGCACACTACTAATAACGTCCAACGACGGTGGCAAAAAAAAGAGGAATTGAACATTTCAACCGGAGAGGGCAGAAAAGGCCGGGGATGAGGACAAGTGAGCGATGAAAAGGGAAACGTTAGCAATGTTCAACTGGTTCCGTGTCACTGCAGCGCTTAAAACTGAGAAAATGTATATTGTATTTCACTTGGTCTTTGTAGCTGGAGCTGTCATATTTGTCAACGCTATGTTGAGGCTTTGGTCATGTGGAAGTGGTTTCACCTCTCAGCCCTCTTGTCCACTTTTTTTTGTTGCATTATTTAAAATGATGCAGTGGGTGGACTTAGGCTCAAACCTGTAATTTGAACCAAAAGCAAGTTCGTTCTACGGCGTAAGATAACTTAGACCCAGAATTCACAAATATTTCACCTGCTTCATAAAGAAGTCCTGTAGTTACTACAACACTTTCTTAGACAGGTAGAAAAGAAGACAGCAAAGAGGAAGAAAAATGACAAAACACATTTCAGATAAGTGAAATCCAAATTTCCAATACCTCTAAAGCGAGAGCTGTTTTGTCATAGGCGCACGGCACTCGTTTCTGGATGGCCTTCGCCATGACGGGGCCGTTCTGCACGGACGGTAGAGGGTTGATAACTGCTCCGGGCGTTCCGGGGGGCAGTGGCGATGGCGTCTGTGGCTGGGCGTAGGGCTCTGGGATCCCATAGCTGTTGGAGTTGCGGGATCCATGGGACGGCTGGCCGGGGAGAGGTGACGGTCGTACCAATTTCTCCACATAGGGCACGGGGATCATCCCGACGCGGCCCTCTTTGCTCTTGGCGCTCCACCACTGCTCCTCTGGCTTCTCCAGGATGATGAGGATCTCCCCCTTCTTGAAGGGAAGGTCCTCCGCATCGCTGCCAGTGAAGTCGTACAGAGTCCGCACATACTCCAGGTTCTCGTCGGGGCCTCCAATGGGCTGGATAGGACCACTCACTGTGCTTGGGTACCTTGAGAGAATATAAACAATGAGGGCCAAGTCAGGAGACACAAGGAGGTTACCATTAAAACCCTGTCAAGTGGATATTATGACAATTTTAATGAAATCAGGGACACTTTTGCTCGAGTGTCACATATTTGTAGTTGAACTGGATGGTGCATTTCAGCAGGGTACTGAGACCTGACTGAAAGTGGGTTGCTTTTGATAAAAATAGACAACCTACTTAACCTAGATCACCCAGTCTTCGGTGGCAAAACATGTATAACGGGCCCCTATTGTTATTGCATGTTATCATGGTGTAGATCTTACTGATGATGGGGGTATTGGGAGACTTTTCCTACCTGGGTGCTGGCTCTATGAGCGTGGTCGTGTCCAGGTAGTGGATCTTGTAGAACTCCAGGAGAGCGGGTAGGTGCTCAAATTCTTGGTCGCCTATCTTAAACCTCTTGCTGGGCAAAGAGTTGATGATATAGTGAGACACTTTGGAGTTCTCGGACACCGACAGCACGTAGTCACCGGGGCAGGTGGACGAGTCTCGCACCAGAAACATGCCGTGTCTCTGTCCTTGTAACCGGTTCTGTGCCTCCTGTCGCGACACGGGTCCAAAATACCAGGCGGACCGATCCGACGAATCAAACCGAGCGGCTGACATTTCAAAAATAAGTTACTAATCAGTCTAAAAATAAGAAGAAAACATCACAGACAATAAGTTAATTGGAGGGTTTAGAAGACGCGGGGCTTCCGTAGCCCTGTTGTGAGGTTCGCGAGTGAGTTCTGCTAAATGCTGCAGGCTACGATTAAAAATAACACAACAGAAAACAACCTGACGTGTTCAGAGACAGGCTGCGACTGGCTGGATCCAACTTTGGAGCATAATGTGGTTGCTGTGTTCAGCAGTCAACGGTTGAGGGATTGTTCAAGCAGCCGAAATACTAAAAACTAAGAACTTACACGACAAACATCGACGGAGAGCAAAAGCAACAAATGACCAATGAAGCTTCCCTTTTTCGTTCCGCCTTCCGAGAAACACCAGGCTTCTCTTCGAATAATTGTATATCCTCCAGTCAGTGTCAGTTACGAGAACGGAAACGGTGCCCCTCAGTTTTTCATCTGATCCTCATGTCGTGCAAAAAGTCGCCGGCGAACACGGGGTCGGAAACGAAATGATTACGGATCTTACAGTGAGGTACACGTCATGGAAATGCGTTTATAAATCCCCTTTCTCGAGTCGGAGCAAGACTTTTGAGGCAGCACGGCACACAAAAAAATGGCGGCCCGCAACACGTCTTCAGACAAAAAAAAGGTTTCACAGCAGCGGCTCGCCTCCCGCACGGTCATCTCAGGTGCCGGGCCGTTATGCTGGAAGCTCTCGCGTGTACTCCGAACCGCTCACGAGGGATGCCGGCTTAACGGTTCTGTATTTTATACTTTCCCTTTATTTCTGCTCGTACCCCCCCCTCACCTGAGCCACCAGAAGTACGAGTACGAGACCGAAAAATGGCGACGGGAGGGCAGGTCCCGCTTTCTGTCTGCACGTCACTGACGCCTTGAGGGCGGAGGCGGGAGGAGGAAACGGGGGTGGGCGGGTGACGAGCCCCCGCCCCCTGAGCAAGTGTCAATCATGTTTCCATGACGCAGCTACAGAACATCTTGTATGTGAAACGATGAGGCAGTGATGTCATCACCACAGGGCAAACCACCAGCATAAAATGTCAGAATACTTTGCAGGTTTGTTTATAACAGCAGCATAACCAGCATACAGGCCTATTGTCTGCTACTTTCTGTTTTTTTTACAGTGTGATAGTGCACTTTAAAATGTGCAAAAAAGTTAACTATTTAATTTACTTATTGCATAATTAACAATATCATGTTGCAACTGCTATCAACACAAACAATGGGTAAATCTCACATTATCTTGTACATCCATACCCTGTACATCTCAGTCAGAATAAGCAATCGTTGAAGAAATAAAAGTAGCAATACCACAGTGGAAAAAAATAGTTAATAATTAAAAAATGCACGAGTATTATGAGCTAAATAAGATTAAATAAATAAAATTCATTATTTGCATTTTACATAGGTCTTTATAGTAACATAAAATGACAATGAATAAGTATGCCAACACTCTTCTTGAGTACAAGTAAATGTACTTAGTTACTTTCCACCACTGTATACATCTGTAGACATCTCAAAGTAAAGGGGCTTTTGAGATCTTAAGGTCCTACAGCCAAGATCTCTGCGGTTCCCATCCTCAAGAGCCTTCCTATGGCAGAATAAACAGTTTAATTTCACTACTATTACTGTATTATGATAAACGAGTGACAGTTTTACACCCAATCGTATCTGACAACTCAATCGTCTTCGATGGGTCCCCTGTCTGTGTGACTGTCCTATGAAACGTCATGTTCTAATGTGATATTTATGATGTATGTCTTTGTAGCCTATTATCTTGTATGTGTGTAGCTTACTGTGGCTTCACGAGTGGCTCATATGTTTAAGGTTATATTTGCTCAGTCAACAGCTAATTTCATGCCACCCGTAAAACGTTTTACATGTTTCTCTATTTTAATTTCCTGTTGTTCTCCAACTTCCCCTCCATTCAAACTCATAATAAGTATTATCTGGCACAGAACTGTGACACATCGAATTGGAGCTCCCGAACCCACTCAACCGACAACACAATATGCTGGAAGGAGGAGAGTGAATTTAAATGGAGGGGGTACAGTGGCTCAAAAGAAGCCTGAATAAAGAGGGAGACAAACCAAAGAATATGTTGGAAAACTCAGATTGAGCAGGACAAGCCGTCCAACATTGGCAGGACAACTTCTGCTAATTGATGAAAGTAAAATATATAAAGCTGCAGCTCTGTTCCTCTGGTTATTGAGGTTTCAGTGACCATGCATCAGGAGGCTGCAGCTGGCACAGAGCAGCTCTCATCACTGCAGCGCTGTCTGAATGTTAAGAGATTTCGCACCCACTGGGTCTAAATGGCTAATGCCTGCCAATTCCCACATTTCCACAACAGCGCAGTGATGCAAAAAAATAGGGGAAACACAAACAAACAGGGCCTCTTCCTCCTCAGAAGTAAACGTTTTTTAAAAAAAAAAAGGCTAATATTGAGGGATGCATACTGTTTACCTCTCTGCATTTTCACAACAAAATGTTCTGGTTAACCTTTATTTTAGCCATATATTCTGATTTCATTGCACGATCATGACAGCCATTCTTCAATAGGTTATATAAATAATTGCATTTTTTTTGTAGCTATCATAAATACACAAATTCCATGCAAAATATCTAAATATAAATATAACAAAATCAAATAAAAAATGTAATAATTTCTGCAAAGTTTGGAAACAAGGCTAAGGTAAGTTATTACATACCCGTGTGTAACATTTGTATTCCTTGATTTAATGGATGCTCACGGAAGAGTTTCTTCAGAAACACCACCATCTAGTGGGTGCATGCATGTATTATATTTAAACATAACAGTAAAGTACATTTTAGACTGTTGGGATTGTTGCATGATCATGTCAAAGGGAACTTTTAAAGACTTAGTTTCATACTTAATGAAACACTTTGGCACTAAAAGCACCTAAATTGTAAAAGGCACATTAAGGGAATCGTCTTCACGCCCGGCTGCATGCAGTTCTTGACCTACACAAGCTACATTTTGATTCATGTTGTGAAATAAAGCCAGGTGTTTTTAAATGTGTTAACTTCCTCACGGCTATGTACCACCTCACTGAGAAATGTTCACACAGTTGCCGAAGCTGAACATATTCTTGGAGTCTGGGAGGAAAAAAACAGGACAGCGCTATTTTGTGTTAATACAATTTAATAGAGTTTTGTATTGTTGTGCTAAGTTGTACTGCAGGTGCATGACCGGTAACGCACCGGGCCAGTTAAAACAGGACACTGCTCCATACAGTATCAATACAAACCAATACAAAAAGTGTGTGAGAAATAAGCCTCATAAGTCTCTCCTGTTTCATTAATTGCATGTGCTTTTAAAGGCTTGACTTTGGTTGTTTGCACGGATGAAAGTTAGCTGTTTTAAAAGTAATTCCACCATCATTTTGGCAGAATTACAACAAATGTGCAGTGAGAACTAACTAAAACTCACTCAAAACTGACTCGGTTTGGTGAAAATAAGCAGCCAGATGTCAAACTTTAATAGTTGAAATGTGCTAAAATCAGGTCGAATAAATAAAAACATTTTCCCTTCCCAGTACAAAAGTAGATTTGAGACCATTTTTCATCTTCTTTTTGTGTGGAAAATGAAAAGCTTTTAAGTCTATAGACCATTTAAAAAATCTTTTCATAGTATCTGTCCCCCTTTCTGTACCCATAGACATCTTAAAAAACATTTTATAGGGCATCAATACTTCAAATGGATATCCATAACTGTGAATAAGGCTTTGTAGTACAACCATGAAAAGCCCCAGTACTGAGATGGATGCAGCTGACGCTGTGGTACGTGTCCATCACGTCACTGCACCGTCCTTTTGAAGCGGTCTCTCTGCACAGCACGGGTCCTCCTCTGTCTCTCTGCAATGGTGGAGCTGAGGCTCTGTTTGAGGGCTGGGAGGACCACCCCAGACTGAGAGGGTCCAGACCTGGGACAGGAAATACACAGACTTAACTGAGAGGGGCCAAGATGGCTTTTAGTCAAGAGTAGCACCGCAAAAAGCCTCCGTATTGGTTACAAAAGGCAGTGAATTCGATATTATGGAGATCTGAGCAATCTGTGACATAGAGGCACAGGGAGGGAGAGATGTACTTACGTTTTTTCCGGATATGTTTGAAGACCAAGTTTTGGAAATTTCTTTTCCTCTGAAGGTTTGCTGAGAAGTGCAAAAAACAGAGATACCCTTATCACAACTGTGTTATTTTTAAATTTTTGGGTGAAGATAAAAAATGATAATATTTCATCACTTTACCGGGTACCATCAACAAGGTAGGTCTTGGTCAGAATGTAGTTTTCTGGGGTTATTTTCTTGCTCAAGACAATATCTCTCAGCAATGCCTTCACACGAATAATCTAAATGGCAGAGTCATATACTGTCATGAAATTATTTCCACAGAAATATCTGGAAAACAACAAAAAAAAAAAAAAATACTGTGTTTTTAAATCCCACAATGCTGAAAAAGCAAATGCACTTAGACTGATATTGTCTGATGATGGGGCCCTTACTTCCTGAGACTGTAAACTGTTAGCATTGTACAGCTGCCGGATGATGACCTCACACTCCTGTAGAGTGGGTGCGCGCGGTGGATGGGAGGGGTTGCTGTGAATTCGTAGAGGCTGTAACGAGGTGATGAGGCCCCCCTTCACGTCTGGAGCATGGTCCTGCTTGGCAGATCCCAGAATGTCGCTGCCCTCTCCAATGCTGCTCCCCATGGAGTGAGGGAGATAATATCAATTAGAAACAACATACAAACTTTTCAATGTTAACAATTAACAATTGTATCACAGGGCGGCTGCAGGCTAACTGCACTGCAGTACAATTCATTGAGTCTTTGCATAAGCACACACAAAAAACTCTAGATACGAGTTTTTTTAACAAATATAACTTTGTGAGCTGGGCACACTCGATTAAGCATTAACATAATATTGTAGAGTATATATTTTAATTAAATAATACATGGTATGGGCCCTTCCATATGCCTCTTTTGTTAGAGTAACAAGAAACCCATACCATAAAATCAGATGAACGACAAGATTGGACTGCAATCTGGACTGACAAATAATTATACATACACCGGCCATCTACTTTAGATTTTACATTTAAAACAGTCCAATGTGTCAGCATTACTACCATATGCTCCACACCTCTTTGGAAACCTGTCTTGTGCTTCTTCCCATGCTGTAGCTGTGGTATACCACTGCATGTGTTCTTTGTTTCACATCTTCTTAATGCGATTTATGTTCTGCTAATGTCCAGTTTCCAATTTCACAGTGATATCATGAGATGTGATATTATCTGATTGTTTTGTAAAATCCCAATACAACATGATTGAGTGTTTTCTTAATGTCTTAATGGCTGAATTGCAGTTGAGTGTCACAAATGTCGGAGATATTCTGACTATCCTAGCTCTATTTCCCCGCTGTAAGACCTGATATGAACTTAACAACAATACCACTATTAACATTACCGCCAGCAAAATACCTCCGCTATTAATTATCAATAGCAATACTACTCATACCACACAGTAAAAGTCCTGCATTTAAATGTTTACTTCAGGGGAAGAGTGAAACAGAGGCACAATGGTCCTAATTTTACTTAATAATAGCCTTCAAATTCTAATAATATGTTAGACAATTAAATAAATAATAATGAATCATATTTTAATTGTTAGTACTACAATGTCTTCCTCTGAAGTAGAAGAAGTATACAGTAAATAGTACGCTATACAGCTGAGTTGCATATTACTGAAGTGCTTTGGGGGCCTTTTAAGTTATTTTGGGGTACAATGAGCTAGAATAGTAATATAATTCAATACTTTTCATATCTAAATATCCTAATAAATCTATAACCGTTTGTGGCCCGTCTAGTTGGGGACCCCAGTCCCAGGTTGCATAACATTGCCTCGCGGTAAAGTCTACACTTGGTGTTTTTTCTTGTGAACCAGACCTACTTCACATTTTCAGTGTTTCTGACCGTGATTTCTGAATAAGAACCTGGATGTAGATTCACCTTAGTGCTTGGTCCTGTGGGGTTCGTGTGTCCTGCAGCGGCTCCTCCAGGTAGAGTCCCGTATGAGCTTCACTACCCTGAGTGGGTGGTCTAACGCCTCTCCGACTGTATGTCATCCCTAGAAGAGAGAGGACCCGGGACGAGGATAGTTAGAAATTGTTAAATGTTACTCCCTTAATGTTGTTTGGCAGACGAGTTTCTCATAATTGGTCTAGCATGAGATACCAACTAGAACTATAAACTATCCTAATCCCACAAGAACATCATCTGAGCATAGCAGAAAGAACCAAAAAACAGTGAATCAGCATTACATCTTACCTTTTCTACTTGACTTTGGAGGCTCCATTATCAGCTTATACTGCAACTCTGCAACATCCACATTAAGAGTGTTTTAGTGTGCTTTAACATACTGTAAGGAGGCAAATAAGAGGCACAGTCATCAAACACGGTCCCCGACAAACAGCCTGTGTTTCCATGGGGGCCTGACTGAAGGCACGAAGACGGATGGCCGGAGAGTCTCCTGGTGGGTGCCGAGAAGCATTTAATATGGAACAGCATGTGACCGGTTCAGTAAAGTGACACTGGATCTGTGTCCACCTCCCACTGAGAGAGACCATCCAAACCCTGGAGTTGCTACGCGACCACAGTACCTAGATTGAATGTCTCTCCTTTCAGCACCTCATCAGAAGACAGACAGGTCTTTGTCATTAACTTAAATTCATTAAAAGGTGGACTGTGGACACAACAGCAGATTACGAAGTTTACCCCTTTTAACTGATATGGATTCTTCTGGGCCATGTGCCCATAAAGTAGCCGATTCCTTGATGAAAACCATTATCCTGTAGATTTCTCTTGGGAATGAAATAAGCTACTCTATTTCTCTACCCTTCTATGAATAAGAATATTGATCACTAAGCACTGTTTGCTGCAAACCCCTCCTGCAAAGTGAGAGGCCAAATCATAGCACATTATTTAAAAACATTTAAACTTGTATATATTGTGTCTTATTTGAATACATTGTCAGTCTCTTAAAATTCTATGATTTGAAGCACTAACTTTCTATGCTTCAATTGTCAACACGTATGAATCATTCGTGATTACCCCTCACGTGACCTCGGTCAGAGTGTTTATTAATGGGTAGAAACGACATTCATTCTTCCTACTGGTGTCTTCACCTTTATTCTCCCGTCTGAGATACTCTATCTCTGCATGGAGCTTCTCCAGAGTGTCCCTGTGTTGCTGCTGGAGGAACTGGATATTCTTCTGCACTGAAGCCACGCGGGGGTCCACGTCTCCGTGACGGGACGACACCTCTGCTGCCCCGCACGCTGTTCCTCTGTTCGCCGGCGGGACGACGGGCAGCTGGGGCAGCTGGTTCGCAGGTAAACGCCGTGGAGAGCAGGACTTCCCGAGTCGCCTCACTCGAGTCCACTGTGGCAAATGCCGTACCGGTGGGAGATTATGACCCGACATATTGCTCCGGATCATTCAGCGTGAACGAACCATTCTAAACAGTTTTCTCTTACCATTATTTTCTAGTGTCGGCAGATCAACCTATAATATTATCCTACAACAGCCAACTAACTAGTTTACTAAAGTCTGTTGCTTATAAACAGCTCAAGCAACGCTAGTCCACCCTGAATTACCTTCGCCCTCATTTGACATGCGCCCCACTCACACACACAACGTTGCCGTGACAACCAACAGGCTGCCGTAAAGTCCCGCCTCCTATATAGAGTGCATGCTTGGGATTGGCTGCGGTATGGGTGACGCAATTTAAACCTGGCCGTTTAATTGGTGGAGCTTGTTAAGGGCAATATGATTTTGGTATGGATTTGAGTGTCCAAAAATCATTTCAGCAGTTTCAAAACACAAAAATTAATACTTGTGAATGAATATATAGATATCTATATATCTATATATCTATATCTATATCTATATAGATATATCTATATCTATATCTATATATCTATATCTATATAGATATATCTATATATCTATATAGATATATCTATATATCTATATCTATATCTATATATCTATATCTATATCTATA